GAATATTAATCCCTCTTATTCTTTTTATTGGTTATTAATGAATTTACATCAAATGTATCATGAGATAAATATACCTCAGTTGCTGAAAATGAAGGATACTCTTAAGGTTTTGTAAGTGGAGTAGGAGAAGGGGAAGGGAGAGGGAACCGTGGCTGGTATGTAAAATGAAAAATAAAATAAAATATAAAAAAAATTGGAAAATATCCTAACCCTAGTATTCACTTACTTAGGCAAGAAAAGACCACTGAAATAATTGCTAGAAAAAAATTAAAAGCCCAAAGCAGCCTGATGTTTTAGACACAAAGAGAAAAAAGGTATCATAATTAGGAAAATGTGGACAGAAATGTGTCATGTTGCTTGGAATGGGAGTTATCCTGATCATGTCTGTAACCTATTTGGAAGAGTTCACAATGTCATCTGGAATGGATCACTGCAGTTAACAGAAATATAAAGAGTAAAACTTGCCAAATTACTTAGCAGAAGTTGCCAAAACAGCCTGCTTTCCTCTGGCCATGTTCAGAACACCTGGGACAACTTGCCATGTTCATTTTTTACTTGGACAGATTCCTTTGAAAAATCATCCGATGAACTGTTAGTTTCATTTCAAGTCTTTTCTTGGAGAAATTGCCAGCTAATAAAAATAACCATGGCCAACTCTTTCCTGTCACCTGGAATACCACAATTAATGTCTAAAACACCCCAGGACACTGATGAGAAAACTTAAACTTAAAATAGTTAGGTAACTTTGCCAAGTTCTCTAAGCTCCCAACTGGAGACCAAGGGGAGAAACTCATGTATGTCACTTCTAGTTCTCCACCTGACATGATGAGCTATCTGGTCCACCCTAGCCAGTCCTCATTTATTCAATTGACTTTAAGGCATTCACACTGAAGAGGCTTCACTCATCATTAATTCATCTACTCAAATTCGATTTTCTCTATGGTATTCCAGATCTTCCATTAGCAGCTGGGAATACAGAAACTCACAATCTAGACTTGATAATGAGCCTCAAAGTTTACTGTCTTTAAGGCCAAGCTTTTTTGTTAAGAGGCAATAATAATGGCTCCTGTCTGGCAGGCCTGTGGAGAAAGATTCAAGGGGCTATGCAGATACGCACTAACATAACAAACGCATAATAATGGGATTACATAGTGATGGTTAAGAAAGACAAGACAGGATGGCTACATTCTTGTAATAAGTAAATAGAGTTCTATGAGGAGATGACATCTCAATTAAAGTTTTTTTTTCCTAAATTTTGGAACATAGCATTGTTTGGGATGTAAAGAATTAATACAATAATAAAGATTAAACTCAGTTTAAGATGTCCTACTTGAAAATTTGCATTATTGAACAAGGAGGCATTAGAGTTGGACCAATGGTGAAATTGTTCAAATAATTAGCTTACTCATTCTATGAACTCACTAGGTAAGCTATGGAAGATGTAGTTAGAAGTAGTATGAGACACCAGGCTGTTACGTATGAAGTTTGAACTTAATTCTGCAAGCTATTGTATTAGTTCTCTATGGCCACTTTAAAACCAATGTTCTCCCCCAACAGATTTGAGGGCTTCAAGAACAGCAGTTTATTTTCTGAGTCTGCTGGATGCTAGAAATCTGAGCTCAGTGGGTCAGAAATGTTATTTATGAAGAAACAGATGACCATGTGTAACAACATCAAATTTCTGGTGTTTCTAGGGTTAAAAACTTGCAGAAGGTATGTGTGGTGATTTGAATAATAATCAAATCCCTCGGGTTCATAGATTTGACTGCTTAGTTACCACAGTACTGTTTCTCCTGCAATCATCCCAGTTTTGGTTAAAAAACACACACACACACACACACACACACACACACACAGCACAAGGTAATGATTTAAGTCAGAAAACTGGAAGTCTTTTTACTTCTTCCTCCAAGTATATCTCAAATGCATCCATTTTCCTCTATAGTCACTGTCACCATCGTCTTTTACCTCATCATTATCCCTCACCTGATTTTGACACAAAAGCCACCTGGCTGATTACCTAACTTCTCTAATCCATTCTCCATTTAGGAAATACCTTTTAAAATACACGTCAATACATATCATTCTTTCCCTCAAAAACCTAAATGGTGTCTCATTGTTTGCTACATGGAAACCAAATCCATTCCTGATGACATCCGCCTTGCCTTGCAACGAATACTATACAGACTGAACTGTGTGCCATCCCTCGAGACATAGAGGAATTCCCATTCGCCAAGTCTTACTTGCTCTTCTCTAACTCTTTGCCTGACCAACTCCTTCTTGTTATTTAGCTCCAGTCAAAACACCCTTTCCTCAGTAAGGCCCTCCCTTGTTTCAGATTTTAAAACATGAGCTGTTGTGGAATATTATTTTAACTATGGAAAACTGTGCCACACGTGTTTGTGCTGTGGAATAGTGGAATATTGCTTTAACTGTGTAAACGCGTGTTACATTTGTTTATGCTGCATTTGTTTAACAGTATAAAACGTGTTCCCTTTGTTTGTGGCGTATTTGATTGTAAAAGATGTGCTGCATTTGCTTCACCTTGCCTGCCTAAGTCACTTGGTTGATCTAATAAAAAGCTGAATGGCCAACAGCAGGAAAGGGATAGGTGTGGCTGGCAGGCAGGCAGGCAGAGAGACTTAGTAGGAGGAGAAACCTAAACTCCAGAAAGTAGAGGGAAGAAAGAGAGGGAGACACCCGGGGTCAGCCAGCCAAGCAGCCACTGACCAGTGAGACAGAGTAGGGAGGGAGGGAGGGAGGGAGGAAGAAAGGAGGGAGGGAGGGAGGAAAAATAGCCCTGAGGCAAAATGTAGATGAAGAGAAACAGATTAAAACAAGGACTAAGCCAAAACTAATAAGTCTCCCAGTCATGATTTGGGAGCTGGGTGGAGGCTTAGGACGAAAAAAAAAGCCTGGTACAAGGAGCTTTCCTGATGCTTTTGTTTATGCAATCTATTTGTTCATGGACTCTATTAATTGTGGATTGAACTGCATCTCATTCAAATTCACATGAGGAAAGCCTCAGTGCTCCCAAAAGTGACTTTATTTGGATAAAAGTGTTTTGCCAAGGTGATCAATTGAATATGAAGTTGTTACTTTGGAACTTAATCTGACTTGATGGTCACACTCAAAGGGGAGATTTGATTACAGATGCATGAAAAGGGAAGGTGACATTGAAGGACACAGGGAGTCAGCTGTTGTCTTGATTATTTCTACTGTTGCTTCAATAAAATACCCAACAAAAGCAGCTAAAGAGACAATGGGCTTACTCTGGCTCACAGGTCAACTGTATGGTCCATCATGGTCGGGGATCACATCACATTGCACTCACAGTTAACCAGCAGAAAATGGTAAATGCCTGTGCTCACTTAGATTTTTATTTTGTATAGGACATAATAAGCCCAGAAAACGAGGCCCACCTTTAGAGTGTGCCTTCCAATTTCAATTAATCCAATCAACATAATCCCTATAAGCATGGCCAGAGGCTAAAATAATTCCTCAAGGGTGTGTCTGGAAGCTTATCTTCTGGGTAATCCCAGATCCAAGTTGACAACTAAAACTAAAAGGGCAACAGTAGTACAGTAGAACAGAATATGCCACAATCCAGAAAAAAGGTGGTCCTGCCAGTAACTTGACATTGTTGCCCCTAGCTTCCTGAGCCACAAGACTATAAAATTCTGTTATTTTAAATTACTCAAGAGTAGTGTCACATAAGTTCCAAAAAACCAATGTCTTACTCTTTTACATCATAATATGTCATGATTTAGAGTTACATGTGTTGTTTGTTTTGTTTTGCCCCTTTAACCAGATGATCATCTATAGAATAGCAGAGAAAGCATCTGCCATCTATTTAACATATCAAGTATTATACTCTGTCAAGAACAAATTCTGGTTGGGATAGAACAGATGTAGGCAAACTTGAGGTTCCCCAGGTACTGCCTGATCCATGTTCTGTTCTCATGGCATAAGAGCTATAGATGCTTTAAGATTTTTAAGTGGTTGAAATACAGAAGTATATTTCGCAACCTGAGAAAATTATGTGAAATTTACATATAAGGTTCACACTCACTTACATATTGCCAACAGATGTCTTCCTTCTACAAAACAGTTATACAATTGTGTTAGAGATGACTCTGCCTTACTCATTTGTTATTTGGTCATCTATAGTGAAAGAAGTTTAATAAACCTTGTGTAAAACTTGCTTCATGAGCTATGTGAACTGCCCAGTGCCAACTGCCCCAGGTGACACAGTCCGGGAACAGAGTCCTTTGAGGAGAATTTGGAGTGCTTGTGAGAACACCCCAACAAAACAAGACTTGCGACCTCAGTTTCTTCAAAACACAGTATTATTCTTAAAATGTGTTTCATGCTCCTACAAGGAGTGGCGGCTAGGAGTGATTTTACTTCAGATTACTCATTATTACTTTCTGGTTTTAATCAATTAAATATTTAACTATCTTTAATATACCTCTATGAAAAAGCATGTTTTGGCCTTATACGGCTTGCCCTTGTATTGTACACTGAACACGTGAGAACTTCACTCATTCTTAACCCTCAGTATAAACTGTCTGATGCTCTGAATAAAGTTGCCTATTGCATGAGACTTTAGTCCACCTCATTTATTTGCTTCAATCTCCCCTGTCCCACTGTCCCTAGAGCAGTGACAAATAAGAATGGTAAGATTTCCAAAGCATCCACTGAAACTGAAAATTAAACAACTTATGAATCTGAATAATAGGTATGTGGGACCATGACCAGTATTCATGGAATTTTGATGGAATGTATGTTATGGGATAAAGACTTTAAATTCCAATGGAATAGGAATAATGACTATAACACAGTTATCTGAATTTATCATAAATACTATCAAAGAAGTCTATCTTCAGTACTGATGTCATTATTAAGGACAAAACTAGGAACTCTTATGCTCATACCCCACCACCACCACCACCACAAAAAAAAAAAAAAAAAAAAAAAAAAAAATCAGCGCTGTTTACCTTTGATGGGGAAACAAACCGGACACATTCCAGCCATTCAGATAAAAAGGGTTTTCTGCACAATGCACATTTTTTTGCCTTGGAGATTTTGTCTTTGACCTCTGGGTAATACTCTATGGCATTCATAATCAACTGATTGTTTTCTTCCAACTGATGGAGGACAAACCTTACTGCTATTTCCTAAATTGAAAAAAAATAGTTCTTCAAATTAATACATTAATTCCTAATTACTGTTTATTACTCTAAGACTCTACAGCATCTACAATGACTTAAATCACATGTGGATGCCATTGTAAAAAAAAATTCTTTTACAAATACAGGAAGAGTACCTTTCACCATCTTTATATTCCATGCATTTGAGACATAAATGTATAATATCTGCTTAATAAAATCAGATGTCATTTTACTTAGGTTTTGTACTTTCATTACAATAAGCAGGAACTACACACATATGCAAACTGGACTCAGAAAGAGTCAGTCATATTCACTAGGATCTAAGCTCTTACTATCTGAACTACAGTTCATAGCCCAGTCAATTCTGCATCCCTTGAGCACATGACCCAAGCCTTCCTATCAACTTATGTTAAACTTAGCCGTGTTGATATCCACCAAAGTAATAAGTAATGACAAAGTAATGAAGAAAAAGAAGTTGCCTTTCACCAGTCCCATAATTTATCCTCACCTAAAATTTAATCTTCCCTGACCCAACAAAGAAAATAAGCATTTGCCTAACTCCCCAAAGCATGCATATCCAATATGCCAGCATGGCATCAACAATGCTCGTTATGAAGCAGTGTGTGTTTCCATATCATTTTAGTCTATAGTACACAAACACTGCTTGAAATTTAAGGAATGTATGGGGAAAGTTTATTTGGGACACATTTTCCTGCCCAAAAAGAAGGGTTTTCTAATAATCCATTATCAGGATGTTAGTCAATTACGCACATATCAGTATTTTTTATAAAAACCTCTTCTGAATTCACGCTAATTTAAGTCTCTAAAATGTTAAATAACAAGGAATTTCTATGAATTGCCTGTTCCTTGCAATGGCCATGCTTACCAGTCAACAAGCATTTCTGGAAGGCCATTGCCACACAGCAAAGCACTTTGCCGTGTGCTTCTTGTGTGACTGACTGCTCCTTCACCAGCATAACCTTCTGAGTGGGGAGATGGTCATGGTGAACAGAGGGAATCTGAAAGTACTAACACTATAACCATCAGATGCCTACTGTCACCGTTCTCTGACTGCTTCCCCAGAGTATAGTTCGTGATTCAAAATGAAGGGTTTGTTCTTAGAGGTATGTCATGAACTAATTAGACAAACTGGGTGGCTGGTTCTAATATGCAGAAAACACATAGTCAAGGATTCACTTTCCAAACAAACAGGAGAATGTTCTTGAATATACAAACCTATAAGTAATACAGATCACTTTTACCATTTATGATTTCTGGACCCAAACAAGTTATTGATTTCAATATATCACTTGACAACTAATATATCAGTCATTACTTATATTCTCCTTGAAGCCAAAACATTACTTTAGAAAAGTAATGTATGTCATTAAAATTTATAATTTTTTCATGGAAAAGTGAATATAAACAAAACAAGATAGTGTTAACATGACCAATAGTATCTTTTTTTTTTAAGATTTTTTTTTCCTAAGACAGGGTTTCTCTGTGTAACCCTGGCCATCCTGGAACTTGTTCTGTAGATCAGGCTGGCCTCAAACTCAGAGATCCATCTGCCTGTATGCCACCATCACCTGGCTAATAGTATCTTTTAGGACACCTCTTAGAAACATTTTTTGAATTTTCTGAAACTATATCATTTAATTATGACATCATTTCATTGTTATTTTAAATAACTATTTATAAATAAATAGTTTATTTTGAATTTTATAAGTAGGTCATATTTCCTATTTCTAATACACTATAAATTGAAAGTAAATTCTTATGCACTCTTAAATTTTCTTACATATGGTCATATGAATTATAATATACATCCACTAATTATATCCATGTAATTATAAAAATTGTAAAATATAGAAAGAAATATGACTCTTTAGGATGAAGGGTGGATTTGGAAATGACTGTGTGAAGTTTTGCTACTGGGAACACAGGAGACAGAACACCCAGCACCATAAGCAAGGGTTCTGGGTGCATCAAATGCAGTTTTACACACTGGTTCAATGAGGTATTGGCTGCATGGACTTATGTAGACAAGTTCTTAATTCACCTGGTCCCAAATATCTCATGTGTAAAGTGAGAGTTTTTCTAGTACTATGGCTGAGTTTATAGAGCTAAGCTAACAGTAGCAAAGCATTTGGTCTGCATCTCCTGATGCAGTTACCCAGATTGGATTCTACTTAGATGTATCCGCAATTCTCACTTTACTTGTAATTTTAACATAGTCTAAGTCATTCAAGCTGCCTTAGTAATCACTTGATACTTCAAGCCTTGGACTTGTTATGCTCTGCCTCAGCCTTCCATGCAGTTAAGATTACAGACTTAAATGACCAAGTATATCTTTTAGAAATTCTATACTAAAGCAGATACAGTTTCAAAGCCCTATGGACCACTGAAACCCAAAGGAATTTAATTGTTAATGTTAACCAAATGTCTACTAGAAAATATATGAATGCAAATATACTCAGTTTGGTCCACCATTCTGAAAAAAAAATTCACAGAAGTACTTTCAAACCCACTAAACCACTTATATATTAGAAGTAAAACTAATAACTTCTACTATATAATCTACCTGACATATCCATCCATGCATACTTTGATTATGTGTGTGTGTGTGTGTGTGTGTGTGTGTGTGTGTGTGTGTGTGTGTATATATATATATATATATATATATATATAATTAACTCTGAGCTCCTGGACCTTATAATTTTAAAAATTAAAAGAAAGTGTTCTGTTCTTCTTAAGCTACCACATCAGATTAAGTATTCATCCAGCCTCTTCCACTATCTAGAATCTCATGTCCTCAATCCCAAGACAATCTGTTTACGCTTCTGCACCCTATCTCATAACAACCCTGCAGTGTGGAGTCTAGAGGACAACGGTAGAAGTTGCCATCAACACTCAAGCCCCAACATAAATTCTACAACTGTGAACAAGTTAGCTAGCCTCTCTGGATCTTAGTTTCTCTATCTATAAAAGGGGGTACAATAAAGACACCTACCTCTTGATGGTAATCAAACAACTACTGTGTTCATAAGTACAGTACCTGTCCACAGAAACCTTAAAATAAGTAGCTAGAATTATTACTCTGGTATGCTTGATGCAGGAGAAAAAAGAACAAGTTATAGACGCTTAAATGAAATACGACAGTTTTAAATAATTAATTTAATCAATTTAAGTTTCAAATGCAATTCCCCATACAAGAGCTGGAAATAATGCTGTTTACAAAAATAATCTCAAAAAAAGAATCTGAAAAAGAGCTGATCCTCAAAGAAAGCAGTTCTTATCCACTACAATTCTGTTCATTGAGATAACGTGGACATGAAAGACCTTTACTGTGAATATGGTCAGTTTCACTTCATATGTACAGACAAAAATGGGTGAATAGTAATGATCTAAACACCTAACAGTAAGAAAATAGTTAAAATATTATGATGTAACAAAATAGCATATATTCATCCAAAAATATATCTTAATGTTTTTAATCTGATTAAAAAGGCAATCACAATAACTGGAGTAAAAAATGTGAGTCTCTAAGTAGCATATAGGGTATTAATTCATTTTAAATTTAAAATATATTCTAAATGCACAAGAGAGTCAGAGGGTAATAATACCTTGCTAAATAGATTTCTGAGTTCTTTTCACCAATTGCCATTGGCTTTTTCCTATTCTTATACGTGCATCTATATTGCTTTCATGGTAAGAAAATAATTTTAAAAGCATTATAACTAATTTCATCTGAAGCAATCTTACATGTTCAGCCTTAGTTCCAAATGAATCTGGTATATCAAAATTCATGATAGAGAATCATCATGCTCAAGTCTGGGAACACCTGTGGTTTTTATCTTGCCTTATAGTAAAGGAGTCCTTAAATATGCTTCCCTAGTCTTTCTTTTGATGTCATTAATTAGTTTCACCAAACTGGACACAGTGAGTTCCAGATCATAACCATGCACTCAATAGAAAAGGAGACAAGTGAAAATAAAACAAAAACAATAAAAAGCCCACTACCAGCAAAAAGATACTTAGAAGGCTAAAGTAAAAGTAAATTCATCTTTTCTTTTCATCCAGTGAAAACTGTTCACTTCTCTGTGTTGAGTCAGTCTGGAAATCAGACAGATTGCACTGAATTCTGTGAGCACATCAAAAAAATGACATGAAGGATCCACATTCTTAATGGACCACTGTCACATATTTGCTGAATTGCCAAGAATGCTTTACATCTTAAACCATGGGTGTAGTGTGAAGGTTCATGCTTATGAGCTAAAACTTCACCCGTAGAGTCCAGATGTCTTTAGGTTGTTTAGCAGTAATTGGCTCCTTCAGGAAAAGTGGGTTTCCCTCACAGTAGAACTCCCTCAGCTTTAGATCCTGAAACTGGTGAAAGAAAAGATCTTCATTGAAAACAAGATAATAGACTTTACTTCTAAAGGTTGATTATAATTTAGGATGTACATTCTATACTGTATTCCAAGAATAGGAGATATTCTACTTGTTAGGAACATTAAGAGTTTTAACGATGGTGTGAGTAGCCATGACCTTAGAAGACATTAGCCATATATCCCATAGTGAATAGCTAAGGAAGCATGTTTAGGTTCACAGAAAGAGTCAGCAGCAGAATAAGGTTTGCTAAGTCAAATTCTGGAAACATTTGTACACATGCATTAGAAAGCCAAGCAATGCAAAACAATTCTAAAACAGGCAATATTGAAAGTATCAACAATTGCCTGAAAATCAATGTTTAATGGGGATGAGAGAGACATGGAAACCTCAAAACCTCATTTTAGACTATAACTAATGAGCAAAACGAAAATATATGGTTGTGGCTCAGTGCTACAGGACTGCCTGGCATGTGCAAAACTAGAGACTGAGCAATATAAACTACGACGACATGAAACAGCGGAGAAATGGAGAGCTCACAGAGATACATAACCTTGCCTGAAAATCCAAGTCCCACTGGATTTAAACGGAAAATAAGAAATACCACGGTGCTCATATTATGCTTAGTATGCCTCTGCTAGGTCCTCCAAAGCTTCTGATATAGTGGCATCACAGAAGGAGCTATGCCTCCAAGACTAAATTCTTAGTGGGAAAAAAGCAGGAAAATAAGAGCATGTCTTCTGAGGTATGCTAGTAAAGAGAGAGGTAAAGGGGGATGGGAGAAGAGAGGAGGGCTGCTGAGCTGAGTGAAAATGGAGGGGAGTGGTGAGGAGAGCCATGGTTCATGATGTGTGTCAATTCTAAAACGTAAGCACCCCTGCCACAACTGATTCAGTTCACTGACTGTGCAGTTGGACAGACATGAAAAATCAACTCTTGTGAGCCACAATAAAGCTGGCCTAGTCACACGACAGCATTTCATAAAATTTATGGAAGAACTAGAGATTTGTGTCATTTCAGCCATAAATTTGAAAGATAGCCATGATTAGCCAAATTAAAAGTAATTGATTTAAGACATCTTTCTGGAGCATTATGCTATCAGATTTTCAAATGTATAGTATATGTTATATAACATATATAAGATTTTTTAAATGAATAACTTAAGACCGCTTTGTATCATACCTAATCCTGGCCACACAACAGACATTCCAATATCTACTCAGTTTCAAAATTTAGCCATTTCAAAGGAGTTATCTTGATAGTTGGAGCCAATGTCACTCCTAGTGTGAGAAAATGAGAAAGAGAATGTACTGAACCTAATTTTCTATACAAGCATTGCATTTTCTTTCTGTCGTAGTAAATAGCAATCCATGCTTGTGCTTCAACTGTAGTCACTGTTAATGAGGGGCTGGGGAGAAGGCTCCATAGGAAAGGATTTGCCACATACACAAGAGGACCTGCATTTTGACCCTCAGCACCCACATAAAAGAGCAGTCACAGAAGTACCCATGTGTGATCTTAGGATGGGGAAACAGATGGGAAATTCCTTCAGCTCACAGACTAGACTTAGTATGTAAACTCCAGGTCCAGTGAGAAATCCTCTCTCAAAGATAAGATGGAGAGCAATAGCGAACAACTTTGGCTTTCAAATGCACAGATACATACTCATATGTATAAATATTCACGTGCAGAATAATACACATACGAAAAAGCTTATTCAAGCATGAATATATATGCAAATATCACTAATGTGTGTAAACATTTTACATTTAATATAAGCAGTTCAAGGGCTATATAATCTTGCTTCAATCTTGTCGCTATCTACCGAAAGTGATAACTGGGTTTCCAATTTGTTATCCCATTACATATAACAGACTGACCACTCACAGAGATCCTCCTGCCTCTGCCTCCCCAGTGCTGGGACAAAAGGTGTGCACCACCATGCCTCGCTAGAAAGAAGTTATTTTAATAGAAAATTTAATAGCATGGATCTTCTAGGAAGACGGTTTAATTAACCTACAGTCATATCTCAATGTACATTAGGTATTCTTCAAAATAAATTCCTTTAGAGCCTCTTTGTTTACACTTATTAGGTGTTCTCAGGCTTGCTTCTTCAGAGAACTAAATCTGTGTCTGCCACTGCCATTCTACTAGAAAAATAAGGATTTTCACATTTTTAATAAGAAGTCTGGAGGCCTGGAGAGATGTCACAGTAATGAAGAGCATGTATTTTCCAGAAAACCTGGGTTCAGTTCCCAGCACTTATTGTAGCGCATACAAATAAAGCTCACACCTGCATCTAACTTGAGCCTTGGGGATCTGATACCCTCCTCTGCACTTTGAGGGCACCTGTGTACATTTCCACACATGCACCTAATTTAAAATGATAATAAAGACCAGATTTGTGGTGGGTACAGGAAATGGCACTATCAGTAAAGGGCCACTATGTGGGCATGGGAACCTAACTTTGGATCTGCAGCCAGGCTGATGTATGCATCTCTAAACTAACATAGGCATCCCTCTCAAGTGCACTGGCTGGCCAGCCTAGATTGGTGAGCTCTGGGTTCGGTAAGAGACCCTGTCTCAGAAAAGGTGAGAGCGATTGAGGAAGGCACCGATGCTGATTTCAGGCTTCTATACACATTTGTATATATGGGCATTCACACATGTGGACCCATATACACCTGTATACAATGACATGAACATGTACACACACCACAAAGTAAATGTATCTATGGATAAGGTATCAAAAGATTAATGCTGAGGAGGAAAAGAGTTGAAAGAGAAATAATCGGAACACAGAATGGTTGTTGAATATTGCTGTCTTTTCTTACATTCTTCTGTGTGGTCAGATGAAAGGATGGGTAACAGCACCCATAAATATTTGAGTTCATTCACTGCATAGTCAAAGGACCAAGGCACAAAAGGACCAGATACAAAAAGGAAAAGCCTGAACACGGGAAAAACAACAGATTCCATACTTAGTGTCAGCTCCGCAAATTTGATCAGGCTAAGGATGAAGTTGAGACTTGGAAGAGGTTAAGAGTATGGAAAAGTAGCTGTGTGTTCTACATTTGGATCTGCAGGCAGAAGGAAGAGAAAACCATCGTGCCTGGCTTGGACTTTTAAAAACCTAAAAGCCCACCTCCAGTGACACACTTCCTCCAACAAGGCCACACCTCCTAACTCCCTAGTGTCCAAGCATTCAAATCTATGAGCCTATGGGGACCATTATCATTCAAACCACCACACAGGGATTCAAGGAACTTTAAGATGTTTGTATCACAACTACCTTTAGCAGTGGTCTCATACATCTGGATTCTCAGGGGTGTGTAGATAAAAGCCCCAAGAACTCCTACACTTTGTTTTTACCTTTCTTCTTCACCCACATCAAATGTGTCACTGTGTCCTATAAATGGATGCTTCCCAACACTTGGGAAATCTATCCTTTCTGTAATCCTTCCCTGACCCAGCTACTCTCCACCTCAGCCTTAAAGGATGTTCTCTCTTGTGTGGATTATTAGAATAGTGACCTGGAATTAGCAAAAGCTTTTGGTCCTAAGCAAGTTTGTACAATTAAAATATGGTTATAATACAACCCTGGTTAAAATGTTCATGGTTCCCTTTTATTCAGAATATATTTAAAAGTCCTAACTTTTCACAAGTGGCCCTTTTCAGCCTACTCCTCCAAAGCTGGTAAGCACTCCCATACTGAGATTTTTGGAGATTTCACATCAACTCTTATCTTACTTGTTGTGACTCTCAAGTTGTATGTTTTAGCTTAAATATGGACCATCTGTCTAAGACTAAAACATCACCCATCTGTGATCCCCCTGCCTTCACTACATGTCCTTGCCCTATATATAAATCAGTCTTATAAAGAGCAGGGCTATTCCAGGCTTTGCCTTTAAGAACTATGTCTTAAATAACTACTATTGCAAACACGAAAGCCTCGCTACTTAGTAACTGATTACTGATACTCGGTAAACCACTGATAAATATAAATAAACATCAAAGAAATACAGCTCTACCCAGGCTTTCAAGATTTGCAAAGTCCTTCCCCAGACTTGGTAAATTAATACCAGGACTCACACAGAGCCACATGCTGTAGCAATACTATGAATTTTCAAGTCCTACTGTCACTTCAGACTAGTCTAAAGTCTTCAGGAGTTCAGCAAGGAGAGAGTGCAGAAATAGTCTCAATGGAAATGGGAGAAAAGAAGGCTGAGGCTTCACATGGTCCCAAAGACAGAATTGATAAGCAATTTACATTAAATTAATGTGTATTCTTCAGACCTTCTCAAAGCTCATAGGGATACCTTGTAATAAGAACTGGGATTTCTAAATAGACTCAGTTTAAAAAAGGATACAATTTTAAGTACAAATACTATGACATCCAAAAATTAGACCCAAGGAACAATTCTTTTTTTAAAAGAATGAGTAAGATTTAGCGGCTAATGGGAAATTAAACACAAAATGATATAAAAATGTTGGGGTAATTTGGCTGATGGCATCATTTGTACATAAGAATCCCCCCAAAACGCTATACTGGAAAGCTCTCTCTCACGCTTTCCATAAGCAGTAGATGGGAAAAGAGGCAAAGTGATAGAAAGTCTTAATTCTTCATATCTGCCAAATGTATGTCACATGAGAGGATCCTGAGCGGGAATAAAGGGAGGAGACTAAGCATCAAGCCTGGCAGACAGGAGATAGTCTGGTCGTGCAGGCTGTAAACACACACAGAGCAGTGAGGAGACTCACTTCAGGCCAGAGAGATGCTCTGAACGAACCTAAGGTCAATTCTCCCTGGCCTTCATTCTGGGCCCTGAAGGGCACATAGTGATTTAACGTAGATTGCTTATCAAGTCTATCTTTGAGTCCCTGTGAAATCTCTGTTTTCCACATTCTGTCTAAACATCACTGCGGCAAAAACTGATGCTGAAGGACTTGCTTGCATCACCCCATAGTCCCCATCACGACTGCTTTAGATGCCTTCA